ACAGTCTTTGTTTTCTGAAGCAAAATGTAGTAAACAATTCTTTCAGCCCTTGTGGCCTGGATTGCTTTGGGACACTTGATTAACGTCCTTCCTGATCCTCCCCTTTAAGCCCTCTCTCCCATCACCTAACCTGGTTTCTCCCTTTAATAGCCATCTAAATAGTTTATTCCAGTTTTCTCACAGTCATCCATTAGCTTTAAATTCTTGGTACTGCTCTCCTACCACATCCACGCTCTTATCTCCGGCATTCCTTTATTATCTCCACGAGATTTCAAATCCATTTTCTTTAAACTACCCTCCCCCCATTTCTGTTTTTTTTAAATGCAAATGCTAATGTGGGGGTGCTATTTGTAGGGCAGAGGACTGATAGTGTTTTTCTTGAAGTACAAATCCCAAGCTCCCACACTCCAGGAGAACCTCAAGAACAACCACAACATTTTAACAGGCATCTTAGAGTGAGGTGCCAGATGATAAAGCCTTATCATTCTGTGAACACAGCTGCCAAACTCCATTGATTAACAGACTTTATTTGTGTTTGGGCTGGCAAATACACACACACATTTTACCTCCAGAGGTGCCTCTTCAATTTTGAAGAGTTTGGGGTCTGACTCATCCGTGTGAACTTTTGAAACACAAGCCCAGTTCAGGATATGAACTTTGCAGAGCTCTTAACAGGAGAACACAAAGAATTTTTCTTTGAGACTCCCAGCAGCCAAGATGAATACTGCTTGCTTTTAGAGGCCTCCCAACGGGGTAGGTGATAAACAATAGGGACCTGGCTCAGCTTGTCTCTTTCTGAGTCCTTGCACTCTAACTTTGGGAAGACACTGGGAGCCATAATAGAAAATAGAAGGTCTGCAGCTTCAAAAGTAGAGCTAGCAGCTATAGCTTTTTTTTTTTTTTTTTTTTTTTTTTTTTGGAAACATTTGAAATAAGCTTAGGGTAGGTGCATCCCAGAACAGTACACATCTAACAGTAATTTGTGTCACAATAACTTTCTGATATGTCTGGAACTGCCTCTTCACCTTTCCTTTAATAGATGATTAATTGCTGCCTGGCTAGAACAGTTTTTTGTTTTTTGGTTTTTTTTTTTTTTTTTTTTTTTGTTTTTTTTTTTATGGCTACTCTATTGCAACTCCATACATATGCAATTTCTCTCAGCAAGACCCAACTGTAATAACTGTTTGCTAATTGTAAAATCCTTATCCAGAATGAGGTTTGGGCAAACAATTCATACTACTGTAATTACATTGTAAAAGTGTTTTAGTCGCTCAATTGTTCAGAAGTAATCTATGAAGGCTTGGAAGGAGCACTAGGTTCAGGTTCACATTCATAAATGGAAAGTTTTCAAAACTAACAGAGCTTTATTTTAAGCTCACAAGTTCAAACTGTCCCAGTCTTTAAGGGAAAACCTGTGGGTAGGCAATTAAAGTATATTTTAAAGGTAACCTGACCCATCGCTATTAAAATCCCACAGCCTTGCCCTTGCTTTGAAGATTGTGCTTGTTTGAAAAGTTTCTTACCTGTTCGTTCCTTTGCTACTTGCTCTGGTAAGCAAAGAATTTACCGAGAAGCAAGAATCCCAAATAAATCCTATTCTCAAAAATATGTAGTTTATTAAAACTGACCGTGTCCAAACTTGAAAACCTTCACGCAGAGTTAAGGAAGTTCTAAGCCCATTACTTAAGCTGGCCTGAGACTCCCTTGGGCTCCTAGAGACTAGGTCATCTACGTGAATTTTACAGTAAATTTCTCCCAGCTAAATTATACTCAGACTATTGCCTTTGCGATTCATGCAAGGGTTGTAACTTAGACGTGCTCAAGGTGGTGTCTGGCTTGAAAGTCCACCTCCATTGCCCCCACCCCCACCCCCTGGGAGTACTGCTGGGGCTCCGCAGGCCTCCTGGAGTGATGACACTCACACTCGCTAGAACCCAGCAGCTACGGACCATCACTCTGGGAGGAGGGGGGCGCCCACACTGGTCTGGAGTTGGGGAAGGGCTCTCAGGCTGTTTGCCCAGCTCAATCGGTTCTATAATTCGCAGAGACGAGTGCTGCCTGGCCCAGCCAGCTCAGCTCCCTAAAACTTGGGAAAATCTACTTCTCATGACCGGGAGGCAATTCACCTAGCTCTTCCATGCCTGATTTTGACGCACAAGCCTGCATGAGCCTTCCAAATGGACACATAGGAGAGCTTGTGCAAGAAAAGACAGAAGAATATCATGAGCTAAGTAGATCTTTAAACTTGAGTGTCGAAACAAAAAAGTAAGAGAAAGAAAGGAAGACACAGAGGCATATGATAAGGGATCGGATCGTGGAGGCCTGTTATTGTTTTAAACAGTCGGAACTGTTTCAAGGCAAAGCCCATTGAAGTTTTGGGGGTAACATATGTCAGCCCTTCAGGTGTTCGTTGTTGGGGGCGGGGTGCTGTGCTAGAGGCCCGCAAACTTGGTCTGCTAGGCTTAACCGACACGCAAGGCTGCTGGAGTGAACCAGCCCGGAGCTGACTTGTGCAGTGCTAAAAGAACTGTGGATGTTGCCTAGGAGGCCCCTGCTCTCCATGGAACCTGATTCCACCTCGAGGTTCTAGTGATCTCCGGGAGTCTCCTGTTCCATAGAAGTCCACTCAGTAGAAAGTTGAGTCCTGCTGGAGAAGGGAAACAAGTCTTTGACTTGGAGCCTAGGAGTTGGCTTCAGTACGTTTCAGAGATGCTAACCTTTTCCAATCACCGCGTGAAGGGAGCTCCCTAATCTTTCTCAGAACTCTCCGCGTAACCTTCCCCCGCCCCTGGAGTGAGGGTTCGGTCCGCAGCTGGCAGTGGGATGGGGGTGGGGGCGGTGGGAGCGCGGGCCGTCTGCTTTGAGGGAGTGAGCCTTTTGGCCACCTTCAGGGCGGGAATCCGGAATGGCAGTTTGCATTCCCAGCAGATCGAAGCTCCCTGCTGATCGATTATTTGATAATTGATTTTCCCCGCAGCCAATGCGAGGCCGCCTGGGCGGGGATGCCTTCCGATTGGCGGAGCCCTTTCCACGGCTGCCTACCGAGATTTGGGTGAGCTCATTTTCCAGTCGACCACAGGGGGAGTTTTCTGCGAGGTTTCAGCTTGGGGGGGGGGGGAATCCTCTTCGAGCCCAGCGAGCTGAGAGGCTTGCCTGGGATGTGAGGTTTCCAGCTACTATCTAAGCTATGAGAGCCGGGCTCAGAATCATAAAGAGTAAAATAGCCACACTAAATAGAATAACTGAGGGCAAGCGCGTAGTGAGAATTAAAAGCCTCAAAAAAAAATTTTTTTTTTTTTAAGTCCGGGGTGTGGTATTTCAAGGGAGAAAGTTAAAAACCAGTGGCTGGTTGGAGACTTCAAGTTGTGGGCAGGGTCAGCTTTTGTCTGAAATCTCAGCTTCCGAAGTGGATTTCTTCTCTGGAACTGGGAGTTTTGGCGGGGCCGGGTCAGAGATAGAAAAGCAAGGGATGGAGGTTTGGGAGGCCGGCGCCGGGCGTCGCCACTGAAGGAACTGGGGTGTGCAGCCTCTCCAGGCCAAGGCAAGGCCGAGGCTGGAGCCCCATCGCGTCTCCCAGACAAAGGCAGCCCTGGCCGCAGCTCAGCAGAGCTCTGCAGCCGCGCCGCGCCCCGGGCGCACAGCTGCCTCGCCGACAGCGCGACCGAGAAAAAGCCTTGGGTCCCGCGGCTCCCAGGCCCCGGCCGTCCGCAAGGTCTGGCTGTTCGGCGCTGGGGTTGAGTTTCGCTCTCCGGCGGTCATAAATAGCTCGGTGTTTGTAAACAAGCGCTGGGGGCACATTCCCCGCGCTCAGCTCATTGTTCCCTCCCTTCCTCCCTCACTTCGCGCTGGGGCTGAGGGCTGCCAGGCAGAGGAGGTGGGGGCGTCCGGACTCAGAGTGACAAAATGCAAGCATTTCCTTTCCTCCGGCCGCGCGTCCACTTCTGACAGCGGGGTGAAAAAATCTCAAAACAAAAACACTCTAAGCTGGGTCTGCAGAACGCCCAGGCGACCGCCACCCCACGCACTCGGGACTCCTAAGCTGAACCTTTCCCAAGCCAGCTCCAGCTCCTCTTCTTGCTCTGGCTTTGGCTTTTCTCCTTGGGGAGTCTAGCAGAGAATCCAGTACTTTTGGCATCACCCCCATCCCGAAAAATACTGGCAGACCCCAATAATTTCGAGGAAAGTCTTGAAGTCTTTCATGAACGGAGCTCTGAGAGAAATAACTCCGGCATCTGCCTGCCCTGCGTTTATTCCCAGTTTATTTCAAGAGTCCGCTTTGGGAAGAGAGGCTGGAAGGCGAAGGAGTGCAAAGAACACGGGACGTAAAGCCGGCGCTTCGGAGCTGCAGTTTGTGTGCATGTGCCCTGGATGTGTGGTGTTAGTGCCTGGGCGTGCGAATTCATGGAGCGCCGTTCTGCCTCTCCAATGCGGCCAGAGCTCGCTTCGCGCACCCACCCCTGCCGAGGAGCCTACTTGCTGCAGCCCAATGCATTGTGTAAGACGCGACCTGTTATGGCCACCACTACTTCCGGGTTCTAGCATTCTGGTCGGAATCCACCTCTCCGCCTGTGCAACACACACTTTACACACGCACGGCGACTGCAAGCGGCCAGCATCGATCGTGGCTCCTTTAAGACAAACTCAGACAGACATTTTTTTAACCCTCCTCTCTAATCTCCCTTCAGTGCAGCAGTTGCAAAGAGGGAGAGAGAAAGAGAAAGAGAGCGAGAGAAGAGAGAAACTGATTAGGAATTAGGACTGATTCAAGGGAAGCGGGCGCTAGAGCTTTGTGCATTTGAATATTAACATTTGAGGTGTTCTGACCAGAAGAAGACAGAGCGGATGATCATTCATTCACCACGTTGACAACCTCGCCTGTGATTGACAGCTGGAGTGGCAGAAAGCCATGAGATTTGGTAGTTGGGTCTAAGGGGCGCTCTTTTTTTTTTTTAACTGATTTTTTTTGGGGGGGAGAGAAGATCTGCTTTTTTTTTCCTCCCCTTTTTTTTCTTTTTCTTTCTTTTTTCTTTTTCTTTTTCCTCCCACTGCTGTCTTGGAACCAGAGCGCTTTTATGCTCAGCGACGCGGGCTCCTTGCTTCAGGTCCGGTAGACCGAAGATCTGGGACCAGTAATTCACATTGCTGCAGACGCAAAGGGATTTTTTTTTCCGTGCTTCATTTTTTTTTCCGAGGGAGTTTGCATATTTGTTTCTTTTCACACTGGCCTTAAAGAGGATATATTAGAAGTTGAAGTAGGAAGGGAGCCAGAGAGGCCGATGGCGCAAAGGGTACGTATTAAAAACAATTGTGGAACTCAAATGTGAGATTAAATTGAAACGTGGCTGAAAGACACTGCTGCTAAGTTTCCTTTTTTTTTCCTTTCTCTCTCTCTCTCTCTCTCTCTCTCTCTCTCTTTTTTTTTTTTTTTTTTTTTTTGAATGAGGTTCCTAAAGCCGCGGCCTAAATCGACAGGTTTACTCAATGCATTTATAGCTTTATGCATGTTACTTGTGGCTGCTAATTCAAGTGATCATGTTGTCTATAGATTCCTAACCAATAGCTATATAAATAAAAATACAAGCTCAAGGAATCACCTGTTTTAAAAGAAGAAAGAGGAGGGGGGGAAGGTTACATATCCAGTGCTATAATTTGAGCATTTAAGGACCAAAAGTTTAAAGTTATGTTTAATTAAAATAAACAGCCAGAAACTTCTGCTGTATTATCGATTATGCCCATCTTTAATATCAGTAGAAGTAGGTAGCATTTTTAGATAAGTAACTGTCATAGTACAGTGAATTTTTGGTTAGAAAATCATTCATCTTTTAAAAGTAATTTTAATTTGCATGGATTTTTAAGCAAGATAATAAACCTGCAGATTTTTCTTAGATAAGTCCTGTACTAACTGGATACTAAACACATAACTACTCACTTTTAAAATGCAATACTAATTTCCCCAATATTCCTATTTGAATGGAAATGCCTTGAAAGTAAACTGAGACAATGACAATCCAGCTGAGGTGGCTTCTTAAAAGAAAGGGGTCTGCAAAAAGGCTTCCTTGCATAATTTGTGTCCTGGCCCTCAAAGCCCTATTTGGAAAAGAAAGTTACTAGCTGACACATTTTTCTTTATTCCCTTGGTTCAGGCAAATGTCAGCGTTCTTCCAAACTCTCTTCACACCTCTGCCTTGAAGAGGATGAAAGTGGCAATTCCCCTTTCTTTGAAAATCATTTCACTCTTACCCTTTCTAAGTCTTAGAAAAAGAACTTGCCTGGAATAAAACACTTAGAAAAATTCAAATAGCTGAATTTATCACAGATAGTAATTACAATCAATTTGAAAGCACCCCCCCCAGGTGGGGTTGGATGTGTATTTACTTTTGAATTTGCTTTAAAAGTAATGAGTAACTATTGCCTCCCTTGACTTCTACTCTAGGGGAAAGTTTGTGGGGGTAAAATAAAATAAAATAGAGTGTTAGCTGCCTCCTTTACAGCTTTTCTTTAAACTTGGAGGGAACACTGCCCACTTGCTGTAAAGTGCAGCACAAGCTGCCCTGTGTACACTCCAGTGTCACACACATAAGGGGGCCAGTTCGTTTTGTATAATTTAGTAGAGTTTGTTTTGGAAAGCAAAGCAAACGTAGTGTCTTGCAGGACTGCCCAATCCCATGCTGGCAGGGAAATAAAATGAGAAGCCTTTCTGAATTCACGTGCTTGGCAGAACTATTCCCATCATAACTTGAAAAAAAAAAAATCCCCTGAAGTGAAGGGGCTGTGGAGCTAGGCGGGTCTGCTACACTGTCCCGGCACGTTTTATTGTTGTCATTTTCGGTTTCCTCCTCCAGAAACATGCGTGTTTTACCTTCTGCCTCCGGGAGAATGCCTCTCTGCCGTTCCTTCTTCCTTCCTCTCTTCCTTGCCAAAAGATTTTGGATTTTTGAATTAGTCTATATGGACACAAGTTAGGACAGGAACCTTCATCTCACATGACTCTCACTGAGAATTCTAGAATGTTTACTGTTAAAATTAATTATTTTTTACAATAGAAAGCTCAACTTCAGAGATGTAAGGCCACGGAATTCGGGTGGAAGGATCCAGCTGGACTGACCTTTTATAAGCTCGGTGTCCTACCGTTCCCGTTTACCCGCATGGCCTCTGACCCTTTTTTTCTCTCCTGTTTGTCATGCAGTACGACGACCTACCCCATTATGGGGGCATGGATGGAGTAGGCATCCCCTCCACGATGTATGGGGACCCGCATGCAGCTAGGTCCATGCAGCCGGTCCATCACCTGAACCATGGGCCTCCTCTGCACTCGCATCAGTACCCGCACACAGCTCACACCAACGCCATGGCCCCCAGCATGGGCTCCTCAGTCAATGATGCTTTAAAGAGAGATAAAGATGCCATTTATGGGTAGGTATAATGGGCAGGAGTTAAGTACTTGAGACGCGATGCTGCCTCCATTTCCTCGAGCCCTTGCAAGCGGAAAGTCAGAGCTCTCTAGATTAGAGGTACAAACTGGTGCCTTTTCATTCACGGTGCATAGAAATTGCGGGCAAGCCTCCTCCCCACTTCCATTTGCTCTCAGTGCAGGCTTAGCTCCTGGCTTGGCCGCCACGTTGGCCGCAAAGGAGTCCCAGTGCTGGAGTAGCTGCCTAAAGATTCCGCATCCCCTCTCAGACTAGAGTCTGCAGATCTGAGACCTTGCTAGCTGGAGTTAGCTCCAGAGCGTTGGGGATTTCAAAGTGTGGGCGCCTTTGTGTTGGAAAGAAACTTTTAGTTTAAGGGAAATCTTTTAAGCCATTGATTGTTCTGACTTATGGAGTTTACTCAGCCACCGTATGCTGGTTCTGCTGGTGCACAATAAAGTCAGGACAGCTGCAGGTCAGACAAGGGGGACATGTCTTGCTTAAGGAGTTTGTTCAACTGAAGTCAAGGAGAGGGGCTGCTCTGAATTGACACAGACGTTTAGAAACTTCTAGACGCTTTAGCACTTGGTGTTCAAAGGCCGAATGCTTTCAGGATTTAGCAAGAAGTGCTGTGGGATGCTCTTCTTCGGGAGACTCTGTGGCCAGCGTTTGCTGTCTTCCATTGGCCATTCCATTAGACCCTGCACTAGAAACCCCTTTGAAAGTTACTTGTCTTTACTGTGTGCTGATGTTTTGGGAACACTCTGCCCACTTTTATTTTTAAACTTTATAATAACTTGTATTTTTCCTTTTCTCTTTTAAAAAATATGTAATATTGACCCTCTGCTGTGTGTGTGTGTGTGTGTGTTATCTTTTTGCTTTATTTTCTTGTCCCTTGTGTGGTGGGCTTGCTTAAATCCCAGCCTCCTCTCTGCAAATGGTTTAGGCTCCAGGACAGAATATTTGAGGAAGCTTTAAAAAGGACCCCAAACTGTTAAATTCCCAGCTGGGCTGTGAGAGCTAATAAAAGGCTCCTTGAGCATTAAAAGTCTTTTCTTTCTTTCTGTCTTCCTTCCTTTCTTTCTTTCTTCCTTCCTTCCTTTCTTTCTTTCAAATGGGCTGAGCCGAGCGACATCTAGGCCTTTTAGGTGCTAGTCACTTTACCACTCTAGACAAAATGTAAAAGCATTTGAAGGAACGTTCTTTGTGGGGCTATGGGGAGCGTCTGCGAAAGGAGGGCAGTGTTGGGGAGCCATGGGGGACCCTCTGCTTCTGGAGGGCTGTGTGTCAAGGGTCGGTATGTGCTGCCCCGTGGCAGTCCGTCCTGTAATCACAGAGGCCCCTTCCTCAAGTTTGCTATCGAGATCCCCTGAGCCTGGAGATCTGTGCCGCGCCTCCCGAGGAAGGCAGAGTCTGGCCCTTTCCCACCCCAACGCCCGCGCGTCTTCCCCAGGCACCCGGTCCTGCTATTGCGGCAGAGGGACGAGGGTTTGTCGCGGTGCGAAAGTTAATTCAAAATGGCTGCTGGAACCGCTTGGGTTTTATTCGTAGCAAATGTTGCCAATTTCTCCGGCCAGATATGCTGAACTGATCCACAGACACGGTCCAAGGCTCAGGGCCTCCGACTTCAGAGCCCTAGGAGCAAGGGGGAAGTGAGCCGTCACCTGGGCGGGGGTGAGCAAAAGGGCAAAAGCGGATGATCAGATCACCCAAGGGTCTCTCTGCCTCGAGCTACTCGGGTTGTTTCTCTTGGGCGCCTTTTTTCGGTGACTCCGGACTAATCATTGTGTTGTTTGTGACTGTTGTATTTTCTTGCAGACACCCCCTCTTCCCTCTCTTAGCACTGATTTTTGAGAAATGTGAATTAGCTACTTGTACCCCCCGCGAGCCGGGGGTGGCGGGCGGGGACGTCTGCTCGTCAGAGTCATTCAATGAAGATATAGCCGTGTTCGCCAAACAGGTCAGCAAAATAAATGTTAAAAAAAAAAAGTAAAAAGAATCAAGAATCCTGTCATCTACCACCCCCGTCCCCGCGCGCACACATGCACACACATACAAGTACACACGTAGAAACAGAGAGATAGATATATAGAGAAATTTCTCATAAGTGGCCAAAAATTACTCTCCCTTAGCCACGCGTGTTACTGCCTCCCTGAGATTTTCGTCCAGTGAGTGTGCTTGCAGATCATCAACCATCTTCACACCCACTCACCATCCACAAGCTCACTAGGAAATGAAATCACGAACTCCATGCTATGTGACTGCTTTGGAGTGGCGGGCCAGCAGCGTTCCGCGTAAGCGGAGCTCTAGCTGCAGTCAGGGAGCGCCCTGGTCTGGTCTCAGGCCTACTGGGTTCACACTGAAGTGTTTCCCTGAGGGACGAACTTGGAGGTTACATCCTACCCCTAACTGTGTAAACGAGGCAAAAAAAAGTAGGGAGGAGACTAGATTTTATTTCATTTTTTTTTTCTCCTTTCCCCTCTCCTCGCTTGTATTTAGATTCGCGCAGAAAAACCTCTATTCTCTTCGAATCCAGAACTGGATAACTTGGTAAGAGCTGACTCCTCACTTCTTCCTCTCTCTGTACACCCAACCTCCAGTCCCCAGCCCTGAGCTTTCTGAACTGGTCTGCTCAATAGCTGCGAGTTCACTGCAAACGTTTTCCATCCACGGGCAAGTGTTTGGAGACTGGATCCCTGGGTATAAACTCATCTGAGAGGGCCCAGGAACAGCGGTTGGGGAACGCCGGCTTTTGTTTTTTACGATGGCCAGGCGGCGTAGCTCTAATCAGCCTGGGGATTTATCTCCCCGCCTGTCAGCGTGTGTGCTTAAACCTTGTGGACTTCCAGCCTTGAGTCTCCTTCATTAGGGCAACGAAGAGGGCAGAGTCCCCACTCCCCCCATACCTCCCCCCACCCCAACCAATTGGTATCAAAAGGTGCTTGGACAGAAGGCAGGAAGAATTTTGCAAAGTGCAAAGCCACTGTTTGGGGACAACTGGGGAAAACTTTCCTGTAACTTCTTAGGAAAAGTATAGCTTAGACAAGTGACCTTTTGGGTTGGGTTGGGGGCAGTAAGACTTATGGAGGGGGGAAGCCATGGGGGAGGAGAGTGTTTATGATCCCCACTTAGATGTTTGTTGTTGGTTTAGCTATTTTTTTCTCCTTAAGAAATATAAACCTCTAGATGGTACCCAGTCACTGCTATTAAGTTTTAGTGTTATTGCCATAAATCAAAATAACTCTATTTATGGGGGGAAGGGGTGAGTTGGAGATGCTAGAGCTGTGACAGCCAATTTTCTGCAAACAGGGAATGGAGTATTCATTCTTTTTGTATCTTTGCAGATGATTCAAGCCATACAAGTATTAAGGTTTCATCTGTTGGAATTAGAGAAGGTAAATTCTTTATTTCCCTTTCCCCTCATTTCCCTTTCATCCTAGTCACACAGAAGGGAGGGTTCAGAAGGACTGAAGTTCAGGCTTCCAAGATATTTGCATAAATGTCTTTTTTTTTCCTGGTAATTAGTGTCAAGGCCAATCTTAGCGTCCATTTCTCTTTGCAGTTTAATTACAATTTCAGCCACTAAAACCAGGATCACAGACACTCTAGCCTCGTGTACCTTGCAGGCTTTGTGCATCAGCTGCACTGCTCGGCACCCTAGCACATACTTAGAATGCCGGAGTGAATTTGTTTTACAAGTTAATGCCTCCGTGTGTGGGGTTTTTTGTTTGTTTGTTTGGTTGGTTGGTTTTTTTTTTTTTTTTCTCCTGTTACTCCTCTACTCCTCTCCTTTGCTACCTGGGAGGGGGAGAGGGTGTTTTGTTTAGTGAGTTTCTTGAAGACTTGAGATCAGTGCTAGGTCAAACTCAGAAGGGGTTGGGGGAAAAGGACAAGTGGGTGAAGGGTCCTGGGGAGGAGGGCATGGTGAACATCGCTCAGAGACAAAGCAGGGTTGATAGTTGTGTCAAGTTCTTGAATCTGTGATCCAGCACACACCTCACCTTCACACTCAAGAGAAGGTGTGGGCTAACATGATTTTGCTAGCTGTTCTATAAATCTCAGCAATAAAAACTTAATGCACTGTAATTCAAACTAACATTAAGTTGCAAAGCTCACCAGGGTTTCTTGTGAGTTTTTGCATGTAAGGGATGCCTGGGGCTTGTAAGAGTCAGCTTTACTTAGACTGAAATATTTTCAGTAATTCTTTTGTTTCTTTTTAGAAAATCATTTTAATAAGTTTTTTGTGGCTGTATTTTTTTCTTTTTTCATATATTGGGCTATGGCAACTTGATGTAGGTTGTCAGGCATACATCTTCCATCATCACAATACAGATGTGTGTGAGTGTGTGTGTGTGTGTGTGTGTGTGTGTGTGTGTGTGTGGTGTATCATACATTTTCCTTAGAAACTTTGGGGAAAGCTTTATGGTAAACTAACCAGATGAAATTAAATAGTTTACCTTAAGTGTCACCCATGCAGGTCACCTCTGTAATGGCCACAGCCCCAGGAGCAGATGAATTTAACATGGGTGTTGAATATGTTGTAGTCTGTGAATCATCTTGTCACTGTCAATTTTCTGGGATATCTCTATTTTGCAAGAAAAGAAAGTTATTCCTAATTCCGAATGCATCTGGGGGTCTCTAGAGGACAATTGCCCTGTGTTTCCCCTATTTGGAAGTTTGGATCTCACAAGGGGGGTGGACTGCACTTGTCAATGTCGTTTATGCACTCCTGATTATATTTCCATTTTTTTATTTCTGTCATAATGTAGGTACACGAATTATGTGACAATTTCTGCCACCGGTATATTAGCTGTTTGAAAGGGAAAATGCCTATCGATTTGGTGATAGATGATAGAGAAGGAGGATCAAAATCAGACAGCGAAGATGTAACGAGATCAGCAAATCTAACTGACCAGGTATGAGACTTTCAATTTCAACATCCCTAAGAAAAAAAAAATCGGTATGCATATTGCTTGCTGGGTCACTACCACCTCCTTTATTATTTGCATATGATTAAGTCCCTTTTAGATACATTTCCATCAAAATGAAAATTTTTGAATAATGTGGCTATTATTGCTTCATTAAGGCTGGCTCTGGGATTCGACCTGGAGAGATGAGCTTGTAAAAGCTTCGCCTGCAAACTTGACCTGTTTCTTGTCGCTTTTAATTTTTGTCTTTATTTTATTTACCTTCCATAATAATGGGAGTGTTAACTGCCAGTGGCCACCTCTGCTTGTAGGGCTTTGTTCATGGGCATTTCCCCCCCCCTTCTATCTTGAAGAAAAGAAAAGTGTAAGGTCTGCTTATTTCTTATTTTATTAGGAATAAATCCAAGATAGGTGGTCTAAGAGAGACAGTGAAGGTTTGAAATCTAGCAAACGCTGGCTATTTTCTCCCTGTCTACACGCCTCATTAGCCTGTCCTGTCAGTTTTCCCCGGCCGACCGCTTCTAGACCTCACTGAACATTGCTTTGTGTGGTATTCCCTGCAAGCTCGCCCATTTTATTGTATTTAATGGAAAAAAATAAAAGCAGGCCGAGGTTAGAAAAACAGATAAATATGGACGTTTCTCCTCCTCCTTTGCACTCATCCTCCAGCTGGTATGTGCGCGGCTTCCTGCCTTGGCAGCTTTTGGCAGGGTTAGCGTCAAGGACGCCCTGTCGACTCCCTGGGTGTGGAGGGCAGGGGCCTGGCATTTGCTCTCCTCTGTGGCTCTTTGCTGTGCCCCCTCCTCTCCAGTCTTCCCTCCAGGCTTTTTTTCCGATGCGATGCTAAGTGGGGACGATTTTCATTTGGAGTTGGGGGGTTATTTCTCTCTGTCACTGGGGACCACCATTTGTTCCCAGTTTCTCTTTCCTGTTGCTATGCCTCTGGATTGGTCCAAATGAGTTGGGAGGGAAAAAAAAAAAAAAAAAAAAAAAAAAAAAAGCAATGAAAGTGAAAACCTGAGGAGTGAGTGAGATGAGATGAAATAGGGTCCTGGACAGCCCTGGAGGATTGCTGCTGCGAAGAATCTGGAGATTTAAGCAGTGGCCTCCTCTGCCTTCAGCACCATCAGCAAAACCCTGGAGCCCTTTCTTATTTGGGCGTGACGTATGTGTGACTGCTTGGGGGGAAGCACTAACCTGCCTTTGTTAAGTCAAAGGGCAGCTACCACACTGTTTTTTTTCTCTGGAAGTTTAACCATGGTCACTGCCAGCCAATGTTGTCTTGTCCCAACTTCATTTTTAGTGCCATTTTAAGGTAGTCTCTCAAAATCCGTGACTAATCCTGGGCAATTCCACAATTTGTGTTGAATTTCTTCTTTGCCCACGAGTGGTATGGCAAAGTAGGACTCGAAAAGTGCCAACAGGACAAGTCCTCATTACCGTTTGGAGAGTTGGAAACTGCTCGGTGCAAATTGGGGCCCAGAACCTGCAGATCAAGGTAGAAAACCGCAGGCGGCGGGGATCCAGGGCCTCTGGCTTCCCAGCCTCTTTAGGGGCTCAGTCGCCAGCCCTGCCTGTTAAACGCAGATTCCACTAGTAGCTGCTGTTGAGTAAAAATTGTAATCCAACAAGCCGAACTAGAAAATGGGATTCTAAAAGCTCCGGAGTGCTGGGTACATAAAGCTATTTGAGCAAATTACAAGAACCGCTTAGGGGCATGAATGAAATCAACACTTTAATTGCCTCCAAAATGAAGATTTATACCCCATTTTCTCAACGAATCATTATTTTATTAAAGTCAAAGATAAAGGACCAAAGTTATGGGGTTTGGGGAGCGTAGAGGATATAGAATTAATAAAATGTCATTGAGTTTTCCCTACTCCTTCACAAACTTCCCTTACTTAGTTTCGTCGGCTAAACACGTGCCTCTTATTCTCCCTTCCCATCTACCAAACAGGCGGTCCATGCTGGTATGATGTGGGCTTCTTAAGTTTGTCTGGGTTCTGTTGGCTCGTGATGTGTGTGTGTGTATGTGCGTGTGCGTGTGAGCTTACCAGTGTGACCCCTTGGGCTCACCCAGCTCTGTCAGATTGAAGACAGCAATGAATGTGTATTCTTTTTATCCAGCTCCAAAAAGCCAGGAGCTAGTGTGGCCAGAAAGGGTCTGGGGAGGTGAGTGCAGTGTGCTCTGTTTGAGAGCCAGGTGGGCTGGGCTTCCCTCCCCTGGATAGGTGAGGTGTAAGCTGCTAGGCACCGGAGCCACCCCAAGGTCTCCAAGTGTTTGTCAGAAGACTAGGGCAGGCTCCCAGGGGATGCTGAATCCCCAATTTGGAGCCTCGGGGGCCAGGCCTAGAAGACTGGCTTCTCCCCCTGTCCTGGAAGGCGACCCAGCCTGCTCGAGACCTGGCACTTGATGTCCTAGGGGACTTGACGCTTCAGGAAGGCCTAGTTAACTCATTAACCGCTCTGCCTCTAGGGTCTGCTGGTCCTATAGTTTATTTTATTTTATTTCCCCCATCCCCTTGGAGGGCGCAAAGTCTGTCATCTTCACCAGGCACTAGGATCAACGATTTTGATGTCGGCGGATTTCCTGGAGGTCTATTTAAGTCTGTAGGTCTATTAAAGTCACCTGGTCGTGTAATGTAGGCCCTACAACAATGTAGGGTTGTTGTTTGTTGTTGTTTGTTTTTGTTTTTATCAGATTAAGACACCAGTAGAAGCTATAATCCTATTCTCTCCCACTTCCTGGGTTCCCCGGTCTTCTCCACTCTTGGAGGCCATCTGGAGGTCCCCTGACTTTGCCTAGTGGTCGCCAGCCTCCTGTGCGCCCTCTCCCGACCATCACGCTCTCTCTGGGCGCAGACGCTCGTGACCCCCCCCAGGGGTTGCGGGCAGTAGAGCCAGGGGTTTGCCCGTCTCCGAGGAGGAGATAAAGGGATGGGCCGAGATCAGTGAGAGGGCAGAAAGGGAGGCGAGAAGGCAAGGATTTGGCTGGAAGGCCACCGGCAAGGAAGGACGCGGGCAGAGGCTAGGTGGAGCTGGGGACTAGGGGTCCTGGGTAGAACGGGGGGGGGGCGCCAGGCGGGGGCCACCCAGACGTTGGATTTAAGGCCGTATTCTCGGAAGGAGCCATCGCCTGCCTTTCCGGAGATATCTGTACCTCTTTATTCCTGAACCTAAGCATTTTATTGACTTTGAGGACTAAGGAGAGGAGCAGCGGGGAGCCTCCGGGGTGGCCTCGTCTCGGGAGAGAGCAGAGATTAGCCAGGCCTGTGCTGTGCCATCAGCAACGGCCCAGCTTTTGGACACTGAGAAATGGTGCCTTCGGATTACAGTTTTATTCAACAGCAGCTCTCCGGGGGTCCTTCTCTCAATCTGCATTTAACAGCTTCTGGGCCATAGCTGGCGGCCCGAGTAGGGCGCCCTGTTGCGTGTTAATCCTGACTGGCCCGTGACGTCTAGGGAAAAGTTCTGTGGCTTGCTGAGCTGTGGCACGAAAGCCCCGCTGGCCCGGCAGGTTAAAAGCCAAGTGCTAGCAGGCTCCCTGGAGTGGGGGTAGCCTGGAGGCGAGCGCAGGCACCGCAGCCCCAGGCCTGGCCAGCCCAGGCTTCAGGGCGCCAGTTGACTAGGCCTAGACTATCTGGGGCTGATCTGAGCTAGTGCAGAGGTTCCCAGTGGGCCTGGGAACTTTGGTGGCGATTGGCGATTTTTTTTTTTTTTTTTTAATCTATATCCGAAGTTCAGAATGCCCTTTCTGGAGCGTAGTTTGAGTTGAGCGTTTGAAAACTTAAGTCAGACTTGACTGAAACCCTTCCTCACTCCAAACTGGTATGGTCAGGAGATTTCAGCTTTCTGATGGTAGAGGGTCCTATAAAGGGGACAACCTAATGTCCTTCATTGCTTGAATCAGCCGCTTAGAAGGGGGTGGGGGCACAGATGTTTACCAATACTAGAAACGTCTGCAGTGCATTTTCATCCAAAAAAATCAAAACAAAAACAAAACAAAACAAAAAACAAACAGAAAATCTGGACACATCCAACAGTAGGAAGGCAAATGGGCCCTTATCAGGTAGTTTCACAGTGCTTACATTTAATACACTTTTTAAATGCTTCATAGTGGCCTACTTAAGAACTCTCAGTGCACAATCTTTGCAAGATACAGGGTCTTGGCATTGTCTAAACGTCACTGTGGATTGTTGTTGTGGGTCATGTGATGTACCCTTAATTCATTTTTTGAAATATGTCAAAGGGAAATTACGGCAAGATTCTCTTTAATGATTAAGTAATAAGGTGTTGACTGCTTGTCACTACATGGGCTAATTGGGATGCTCATTCTGGATCCTTTGTTGCTTTGAATTGAAAGTTACTTGTTTAGCAGGTATGTTTTATTGTTATTTTCTGCTTGGCTTTTATATTTATGTATGGTTTTTGAGTAGAGATAGATTAATTCTTAATAGGGGTGTTTAAAACATTTAAGAAAACAATAAGAGAAAAAGTATAGGGTCTAGTCTATGCAAATAGCTGAGATCAATTATATTGTTAAATGCTAATAGTACATATTACTACATTTTCATTTTCCTAGACCCTCTCCAATCCCTCTTTGCCCCCTCCATCTCCTTCTTACTCCCCTTTGCCCTCCCCACTCCCAGTAGAAGTCCCCAGTGCAAGTTCCACAGTTAATAGAAAGCAATGATACTAATGCTACTTTGTACAAAGCAAAGCCATAACTGTAACTACTGCTCCTGGTTTAACTAGCTCGGAGGCAATAGGTCACTCCAACAGCAATACTTCTCCCACAGGAACGACTCCATCGCTCACAATTCAGAAGTACACAGTGGAGTTGTACCTGCTGTAACTATTGGGCTAACTTACAGACTCATATTAGGAAATGGAGAAACTTAAATATAAAAAAAAAAAGAGATAAAGGAGCAAGAAATAAAGGATAGAAATGTGTGTTCTCCTTTCCAAACAGCGACCGATACGCTAAA